CAGGATCCTCAGACAATTCTTTGTAAAACTTGTGCAACATCTCTGGCTAAAGGAAACATCCCCACTTTTGCTACCTACAATGGTTTCCGCTATCCCCCAAAACCGTCTCATCTGCCTGAACTCAACGCCATAACGCGGCGTTTGATCAGTCCCCGGATACCCTTCATGCAGATCCGACGTCTCCGTCAAGGATATGGTCCCTTCAGAATCGTGGGCCAAATCATTAATGTTCCGATAGAGGTTCAGAAGGTGGTTTCGAGTTTGCCTCGTTCATTAGCTGACGATCACGCTTTCAACGTGACCGCGAAAAAAAACTCATCCACAAGAGCACCGCGAATTCCGGTCAAGTCAAAATGAGTGAGCTTAAAGCCTGGTTGGAATATTTGCAAAACACGCCCCTCTATGAATTATACAACATCACAATCGATTGGTCAGATTTTTCGAATGAAACAAGTACAGACGTCCGAGATCTCGATGCCATGAATGCGGAGTCCTCTGACTATGACCATTTGGTTGCAAACCAACAATCCCTTCTTTGGAACGAGGATAAATACTTGTGCCTAGCTCCCGGGCAGTCAGAGAGGCCACTGAATCTTAATTTTGATGAACATGGCGAAGAACTAGCTTTTCCTGATATATATTACGGGGTTCCGAGGACGTTCCGGACAGGAGTAAATGTCACTTCCTTCCAAGTCATAACCAGTGAAATTAGGCGGCGGGACCGGCGCGGAACAACACCGGAGCATATCCTCTATCAGGCTGCGAAAGCAATGCGACTCCGTATTAATGACGGTCCACGAGCTTCTTACAAAATGAGTGGTGATTTGAAGAAAATCACCCGTGAGATGATCGAAACTAGGAGTTTCCTCGAAGATTGTGTGCAACATAACTTCGCTTTCTTAAAGTCGATCCCTGATTCGGTCCAGTATTGGATGACCAAGAAAAGAGACCTCTTCGTTATGATAAGACAACTCGGCAAACCTTCGATGTTCTTGACCATGAGCGCCAACGAGACTCGATGGCCACATCTCCTTCAGAATCTCTACAAATTGAAAATGGGCCTCGATACAACGACTGACGATCTTTTAAATGACTTCTCCGCTTCATTCCGAGCGGATCTTGTCAATAATGATTCTGTCCTTTGTTGTTTGTATTTCTGGAGGATGATAAACGTCATCATGCAACTCCTGAAGAACAAAAAAATCAGCCCCTTCGGCAAGCATCCCGTTATCGATCACTTTCTCCGGGTAGAGTTTCAGCATCGTGGGTCTCCTCATGTTCATGTCCTTCTGTGGCTTGAAAATGACCCAAACGAAGCGCTCTCGGAAGATATGCCGCAAACCGTTGCTTTGATTGATGAGCTTTGTTCTGTCAACACAAGGGAGCACATTCTCGATCAAGATTATGCTCCGTTGCAAGTTCATAAACACACGTTCACTTGTTATAACAATGAGACGACTTCTTCGGCTGGTCAATGCCGCTTCAATATACCATTCTGGCCCATTGACAAAACCCGTATCATAGTACCCATGGCGAAGGGTGATGGCAAACGAAATGCACTCATGAAAAAAGGACCGTTCCGTAAAGAAAGCGCTTGAAGAGAATACGTTCAGTTCATTCTCAGATTTCCTTCAGTCTATGGATCTCAGTCTAGATATGTATCTTGATGTGATCCAAGCCTCCGTAGAGAGGCCAACCGTTCTTTTCAAACGAGGTTTGAATGATATATGGACTAATACGTTCAATCCATGGATATCGAATACTCTGAAATCGAACATGGATTTGCAATTCGTTCTTGACGAGTACACCTGCGCGTCGTACATAGTAGAATACGTGAACAAAACAAATCGCGGCATATCAGACCTCCATCGTAGAATGACAAATTTGCAAGAAGAGTACCCTGACGATGATTACACTAATCTTCTCAAACGCCTCAGTGTACGCATGTTGGATTCCGTCGAGATGACGACACAGGAAGCCGCTTGGTTCACCTTACGTCAACCAATGAGTGTCGGTAGTCGAGATACTGTATACATTACAACTGAAGCCCCCAACAAACGAACACTCTGCCACAAGACCAAAAGAGCCATGGATTCCGAAGGAATACCATCAGAATCGACTGATATTTGGACGCAGAATGTCATACAGAAGTACGAATCACCTCCCAATTACTTAGCTAACGTTTGTTTAGCAGACTTCACGTCTTTGTTCCGTCGCGTGACCGGAAAGCTACACGAAAACGGGGAAGACTTGTATTTAGAGAGGGACTTTGCTCGCATAATCCGCTGGAGTTTTTTCAAAGTCACTGAAGAAGTTGATTACAAACGTAGTATGGTCCTCTTGTTCCATCCTTTCCGCAACGAGCATATCGATCTCTTAGACGACGATAAATTCCTTCAACTTCACGATGACCATGAAACGAGTATACTAGAAAATCGTCAGCTTATAATCGTTACGAGGACTTTGAGAACAACGTCAGCAAGTACCGCGAGATTTGGCTTCAAGCCGAGGACAATGATCCTAGATCTGATATGGAGGATGACGGCGTTTACGTCCACAATGATCGTGACTCCTTAGATCAAAACAACGATGATATATTCGTAAAAATTCCATCGTCTTTTTTTCGATTATCAAGACGAGAAGCAATGTCCTCTCAGCTGCTGACTATTGTCAAAGTTTGCGACACGCCAACTTCGAACAGAAGGCTCTGATCAAGCACTGTATCGCCCGGATTTTCGACCCATCCCTTCCTCCGATACAGATCTTTTTCACAGGACCTGCTGGTAGCGGGAAAACCTTCACTTACAATCGCTTTGCCCAAACACACGATTCTGAACGGAACGCTTATGTCGCCACTGCTTCAACGGGAAAGGCCGCTATGGCCGTCAGGGGAACAACCGTCCATCATGCGTTTAACATCTGCACCATGCAACGCCGAGGAGGTCTTTCCTTCGAACAGATTCAAGTGTATCGAAGTGCCTTCGCTGATATACGAATCGTGTTCATTGATGAAATTAGTATGATCGGTGCTGGAATTTTTCACACCATCAATGAGCGCTTAAAAAACATCACGATGCAACACGATGTCCCTTTCGGTGGCATGGATATCATATTCAGCGGCGACTTGCGTCAATTGCCGCCTGTTTGCATGAAACCTATATATGAACCTTTGACTCGAGGCATTCACCGTTCTGTGTTGTGGCAGTCTCTAGAATATTATCCTTTGAATCACGTGATGCGACAAGCGGATTCCCGATTTTCTTCAATTTTGACAAAAATTGGTGATGGTGTCCCACTGGCGAGCGATGAGCAACGCTTGATCGAATCTCGATTCCGAACTCGCGAATGGTGTGAAGAACACGCGCACAGTGCCATACGACTGTTCCACAGAAATAATCAGGTCGAGGCCTACAACACCTCTGTCGTGACTCCGAAATGGGTCGCGGTCGCCACCGACATATATTCCGGCCATCGAGATAATGTACAGCTTTCCTGTCGCGTTCGGATGTTCATAAAATGTCTCCGGCGGAAACAGGCAATCTCCTCTATCATATACCTTTAGAATTGGATCAGCCCTACATGATTTCCTGTAATATCGATGTGAACGACGGCTTGGTGAATGGAGCGATTGGCTTCTTGAAATACGTGGACGAAAGATGTCTTGATGACGAACCGTCAAATTCATCCCGAGCTCTGTCTTCTCCTCAGCCTTACTGTTTATGGCTTGATTTCGTTGACAATCCCCAAATAGGCGCTGTGGTGAGAACAAAACACCGCCCTATGGCTCTCACGAGGGAAGAATTACAAACATCTTGGACCCCTCTATTCAAAAAAAGTCTCCTTCTCGATCACAAAAGGCAGCAAAATCAAATGCAGCCGCTGGAATTTCCCACTCCGCCTTGCTCGCGCCATTACAACGCATAAATCTCAAGGTGCCACTTTCGAAAATGTCGTGTTTGATTACGATCGCAATCTCCAACAACAACTCGTTTATGTCGCGTTGTCGAGAGTCTGTTCGATTGAAGGCTTGTTCATCACGAACTCCAAGAACGACTTCAAATTTTATCACGGTTCGGGTTCTTCTTCGCCGAAGATTCTGCAACTCAAGTCAGAATTGGCTCGCCTCGATAAACACCATTTTCAGACCCTCGACAGCAAAACTCTCTCTCATTTTGCAAACTTCGAGACTTTACTGCTAAATTTCAACAATCAGAGCCTCAAAGCTCATTGCAGTGATTTTGAGAATGACGTCGTTTTAATGAAAGCCCATCTGATTTGTTTCACCCAAACTTGGATGGAAAACACTTCTTCAATAGAATTGGAAAGATACACATCAGTGGCTAAAAATAAGCGGCGCGGAACATCAGGCGGAGTCGCCATATATCTCGGAAAGGGTCGTTCTCTCCTAAAACAAAATGAACAGCCTAGTCTTCTTGCTACCGATTGTGGAGACATTTGCTTCGCCGATGTCGTTCTCGGAAACCGTCCCACACGATTAATCGTTGTTTATCTCTCACCCGGATGCAATTTACGTCGAATAATGACTTTCTTCGATTCGCATCGAAATGTATTGACGATGGCTCGAGATGTACCGAATCAAGCTATCATTCTGTGTGGAGATTTCAATTGGGACATATCAATCGTTGGTAAGAAAGACCCTCTGTGTCAATTCATGAAATCCAACTTTGATCTGGATTTAGAATCTGAAGCTTCGACTCCGACCACAAGGGCTCGTTCATGCATTGATTTGATATTCTCAAGGAATTGCCCGCCGTCAGAATGCATACCCAATATTAGCTATTTCAGTTTTCATAAGCCTATATTCTATTGCATCGGCGATAGCCTATAAATGATATGCGATAAGTGTCTGTCATCAGTAGAGCTCGGACTTTCAAGCACTGAAAAAACGAGAAATAAGCAAGCAAATATGCACCAAAAAATGAGAAAATAAGCTCTTTCAAGCGCGGGATATGCTCGAACGATTTATACAAGGTTATGATTTAGCTACAGTACACAATTAGCACCATCCGTAGGTTTTCGAAAGTAAAACTGTGACGACGATCGTCAAGGGTGTATTTCAACTGAGAAAAACTCCTCTCCACGTCAACGGACGTCAACGGAGCGAATTTGAAGGCGGCAATTTCCCCAGGACTAAAATCGAGGTTACAACTTTCGGGGATATCCCCCCTTAAAACATCCGCAATCGCCTTGACACTACCGTAGTCTGGATTCCGACTCAATACCGATTTATACTTTTCTCGGAGCCGGTCCCCGATCTGGCCTGGCGTATCTTCGAGTGCGTCTAGAACTCGTTCAAACGTTCCAATGCTCTCGATTAGAGGAGTCTCTTTTTTTTCAAGTTTCTCGATGCCAGGTGGTAGGTGACCGAGATGACTTCTGATGAAAGCGAGATCTCGTTTCAGGGACTCGTCCTTCAACAATCCTTGAGCTAGCGCAATGCTCGCGGCCTCAGACGCGTCCAGAGACTGGACAACCACCGCGAAAGCCTCGAAATTCTCGGCGTAATAGAGAGCGGCATTAATCCAGGTTCCCCATCGCGTCAGGATTGGTTGAGGCGGCAGAGGTATCCCGGGTGCCTTCTCGCGAAAGGCTGTTGTCCTTGAAGCTGATTTCAAAAAAATTTTCTTGCCATTCGAGACGAGCTTGTCTACCTTCGGAAACAGGAGTCTCACTTCTTCTGCCACTCGATGCAATGCATGTGCGGTGCAGGTCAAATGCAGCATTTTCGGGAACATCACTTTGAGAGCCGTGCCTGCTTTTTTCATGTAGGCTGCGCCGTCCGACACAAACAAGAGCACACGGTCGTGCTGGATTTGCTGGGGCCAGAGGAGCGTCAACGAATTGACGAAGACCTGCGATATTGTACTACCGTTTGTCTTCTCTAGACTTTCGCAGTGCAGAAGGAAGCTTCGGCTGGATGTCGTCTCCATAGTCCCGACGACAACATGGGCTACAAAACGACCTGTAGCATCCGTCGTTTCATCGACAGAGAGCCATATGAACTTCTCAGCGACATAGCTTCTGATAGAGTCCAACTTGCTCTCGTAGGCGCTCCTGATATAGTTTTTGCGCAACGCGGATGAACTCGGCACCTGATGTTTCACGTATTTCCCGAAAAACGATCTTAGTTTTTCGTGGTCCAATTTGAAAAGCGGTATGCCACTCGACAAGAAGGCATCACAGAGGTCGAGATGGAATTGCGATTGCTTCCCAGAAGCTAATAGGAACGGTAGCATCTGAGAGACGCTCGATGAGTCTGTCTGCTGCTTCTTCTTCTCCACTAACGATTTGTGTCTCACTCCGTTCACGTGTTGTGAAACCGCAAACTTCTTATCGGCCGAGATTTCTCTCTCGCAGACTTTGCAGAACAGAACGCGACCGTCCGTCGAGAGTACTTCACAACCGAAAACTTTCACGAAGGTCTCCATCTTCGACCTTGGCGTTGATTTTTCTTTCGGCATTCTTTCCTTCCTCTCGGAGTTTACGTTCACTTCTCGAAACGAATGTTTTCGTTCGCAGGTGGTGGCAAGCGATCACCGAGCAGTCCGGCTGGTTGTGTTTGATTCGAACGTCGTCAAAGCCGTGCGGTGTGCAATGTTGAGCATTCTTGGAGTCGCAGGCGCCGAGCCTCCCGGATGCGTGAATGATTGGCAATGGACGAGACATCCGGGCTCTCTCGGAAAATACTGCTCGGGAGGCTATCCCCGAGCGTAAAATCTCGAAATAAGCATTATATGCGTTTAAATCTCGAATTAAGCATTTCCGACCGAAAAGGTCCTAAATAAGCATTTCCAAGCAAAATATGCATTTTGCTTGAAAGTCCGAGCTCTAGTCATCAGCCTACCTAGATGATTGAAAATGTATATGTATGAATAAATTGTCCAACGCCTTTCTGAAAACAGCGTAGTTCTACGCGCTCATACCGCCCGAGTCCATGACTCGGGCATCCCGGGAATTTTTTTATGCCTTTATCGTGTTGGAGCTTATTAACAGCAACATCTTGAGCGAAGTCGGCAATGATGGAGATCAGCGACCAGGCAGGCCCGTGAGGGCCCGTCGCAACAACTTGGCATTGTTGGATTCCACATCATTGTGAGTCCTCTGGAGTAGGCCGAAGACCGACAGATTCTCTGGGCCTATATTTCCGATCCAAAATTTTGAAACGCTCGCGAGAAATACGGGGAACCCGATATGTGCTCCCAGTGCTCTTTCCGACAGTTTCTTGAAGGCTGGCTCAATCATTGTCGGTGGTAGCAAGGGGAGCGCAGCGAACGCAAGGAGGTTTGACCTGACTTCGCCTCGTTTGCGAAGGTCCACTGCCATGCCGACTGCTTTATCGCAGGCTTTTTTCACAAGAGCTTGTGAGTAATGAAATGAGCAGCCATAAATTTTCGCACCTGGGAATTCTTCTCTCACAGCTTTCCTCATAGCGTTGTCCCAGTCTCCCATGTATGCAGGGATGGTCAGGCCCGGCAGACAGTCTTTTAAGCATCAGAAAACCCATCGATAGGCCTCAGAATCTGTCGAGCTCATAAGCGCACAAGCAATCATTCCTACATGACCGTCCCAGTTCCCATGCATGGTGAAAAGCTGTTTACACAGCTTTCTGGGACGACTTTATAAGTCGCGTCGGCGTGCAAGATGCTTGCATTTCTCAAGAGACACAAGAGAGTGGGAGCGGTTATGACGAGGATGTTTTTATTGCTGTTGAAAAAAGTCATCAACCTCTCCCCGTCTTGGGTGATATTGAAACCGAAGTGATCTCCGGTCTCCATTTTCCTGCGGAGTTCTCTCAGGCTGTCAACTGTACCAGGACGCAGTTTGCTGGCATGATACCGACACGTACGCAAATGCCGCTCCACAACTACGGTGCTTGCGGCCGCGCGGGATAGCTTGCGCCGATGCTTCGATATCGTTTGCTCTGGTTTCTTTGTTGGGTCCTCTCTTATTTCTTGAATCCAATTACTTCGTGTGTTTCGATAATCAATGCCGTATCCTTCTCTATCCGGAGTATGATTGTGGCTCCCAGACAGGCTGAGAATCTTTCCGTTAATTTCGATCTTGGCAACCACTTGGCACCCAGTTCTCCTGAGAGACTTGCATACGAGGGTGATGACAGCGCGGGCCAGATTCATTCGCTTCTGATGAAATAAATAGCAGCCTGAGCCTTCTGAATGCTCTGGGCCTCCAAGACGGTATAGACCTCCTTTGTGGGACCAAATTCTTTTTTCGCCGAACCGCAGACTCGTTACTTTCACAAAATTCTCTTCCTGATTCATATTCATCGCTCAGATCACACTGGGGGGGGGGAAGGGAGGGTAGGATGCTCACTTTGGAGGAGTGGGAAGAACGGATGGCTTTCGTTGAGCTCGAAGTCACACAGTGGAAGAACTTGATGACTCCGATTGCAACACGTATATACAATGGAATGAAATCGCATTTTGTTTACACGCTCGGCAACCGTTGCCAGAGTCTGCGCAATATTGAAAGTTTCGAATTTCAAAGTTCATGATCTTCCTGGGAGTCCCCTGAGATCCCCGTCTCGCATCTGTCTCTCTGTATAATACGGATTCTCGATGGAGAGCGCAAACGTGCTGCTTGAGGCCCCACAGAGGAGATATATCGGAAGCAGACCAGAATCCCCGCCATACTTCGGACCAGAGGCGCCTTCGGGAGAGGCCTGAACCCGGGAAAGAAAATACCGCTTCCTTATTCCATACTCACTCCCAGCAGTAGAATTCCAAATAACCGGCTCCAGCCCCTCGCTATTCCAGAAGACTCGCTCCGTCGATCTGCGCCTGTCGCGGACTCGCGCGAGGAAAAACATTCACGGGGGTTTCCACATTTTCGACCGCCGGTCTCGGACGCACGGGATGATGGTCTTTTTTCGTCGTCTGCTATTCCCTCCCTGTGTACTGCGAGTTACATCGAGGAGACGGACATAGGCATACCAAAAACCGCCGAGAAAGAAAGATGAAATTAATATAGCCTTTTCCGAAATTCGAATGAACATCGTCGTTTTGTGTGGACTGGGAGGGCGACTCGAGCAGTGATTGAACCCTAATTTTCATCATATCTATATCCTCATACGAATGGGGAGGAGGAGCAGGAGAATGACGGGATGAGGAAACGCGGGAGAACAAACGAACGAGAACTCAAACCGGAAAAGCAACGAGAGAGAGAAGGCAAAAAAAGACGGCACATGGTTCAAAACGTGAGAAACGGGAGGAGGAACGAGGAAAGGGACGGCGAAAAACTGGAGAAGGGTCGGGGAAAAACCGTTTATTTCACCGTGCCGTTTATTCGGTGTCACCAGGTGGCGTCCCGAACGGGGCGCCAATACTTGAAATTTCAACAGCTCGCATCTCGGTTTCCATAGAGTAATACTTGACAGTCCCGCCAAGCGAGATGCACAAATGAGCGGCAGTATCGAGAATACATACATATGCACCTAAAGCTCGGCTGGTAATTAATTTAAGATGAGCAGGATTTATAATATTATCACAATGTTAAACCTGGGTGATCGTTGCTGGGTGTCTTGCGTTGTGTAGTTTGAAAAAGAAACTTCCGTCTCATGGTTCCTCGTTGCCAGGCCGTGTAGGATCGTCGCCGACTTCGAGGGGTATCAGCAGATGAACCGCTCGTCGAGAAGTTCTGCCGTTCTGAAACTTGACGGTGTATGTCCGAATCAAGTTATCTCGGCCCCGATGTTCCTCCATTATCCGAACCAGCGGATACTTCGAGCGTGGGCGATTGTCATCTACCAGGATGCAAACATCTCCTATTCGGATAGACTCGGTGGGGCGACCTCGCGAACAATTCGCGCTGCGGATCAGGGTGATATACTCGCGCCACCAGCGGACGGATAGGACCTGAAGTATGTCGTACGCTCGATCATCTGCTTCCGTAGAACGTCGCCGACCGCTGGTTCGTCGTTCCGCAAATCATCGATGGGCAAAATTGACGCGAGCGGGGAGGGCTGAGGTCCTCCTCTGAGGAACATCGCCGGCTTGAGTGCGAGGGGCGAGTCGTCCCCGGAACCTGACCCTACGAGTGGTCGGTCATTGATCACAGCCGTGAGCTCAACAATAATAGTCCGAAACTCCTCGAACCCTACGAGCGATCTGCCTAGCGTACGTTGCAGACAAGACTTGAACGTACCGACCAATCGCTCCGTGTGTCCCGAAAAGTGCGGCGCTCTGGGCGGCGCGAACTTCCAGGTGATGCTCCTGCCTTGTAGGAGATCTCTGACCTCGGGATTCTTCATCGTGTTGAACAGCCGTTTGAGATCTGTGGAAGCCTTGACTAGATTGGTTCCATTGTCACTCAAAAAGCCCTGGATAAGTGGCGAGGCCGCGTCGAAGCGCCATGTTGGTCTGGGGCGCGGACAGTGCGGGAATAGCTTCGAGATGAACAGCCCTCGTCGAGGCACAGACGAATATCGCCACGTAGGTCTTCTGAATCACGTAGGAGCCGTTCTTGATGTCGCCCTCACGAAAGCGAGTATAAAAGTGACCGCAGAAATCGAGCCCGGTCGTAGTGAATGGCGCGTGAAACTGGGCGCGCTCAATCGGCAATGGCGCCTCCAGTTGACCGCGGGGAGTTCCCTGTCTTCGTTTGCAGATTACGCACGGCGAGAGGATCGAGCGGATAACCTGTCGGCCACGCGTGATCCAATATCGCTTGCGAAGTTGAGAGAGCACCGTTGTAACGCCAAAGTGCGCGTTGATGCGGTGTGTGTCGACGATGAGCATTCTTGCTAGCCTGGACTCCCCCGGGAGCACGATGGGGTTTCTTTTCTCGTAGTTGAGGAAGGTCGCCTGAGCTAGGCGTTTTCTCACTCGAAGGATATTTCTATCGTCTATGAAGATACGGAGAGCAGACAGTTTTGATGACGTTGGGACTTGCTCGCCGGCTCGGACGGCCGCGAGTTCTTTCGGGAAATGCAACCTCTGGGTATGACGGATAATCTGAGTCTCCGCCGCATGGAAGAGCTCCCTCGCCGAACGCGTCTCTCGGTTTCGAACCAGATCCAAGGAACGCAGAACCAGCGAAAGAACCCTGATGGCCCTCGCAGCAGAGGAGAACCTCTCCAAGTCGATCAGCGGCCGCCCCACGGCCACCGGGGCTGCCAATTTTCGGAGCTCATGCCTCACGGAATCGGCGCTGTGGACGGCGCCGGCGCTTCCCGGTCGGGAGATCGGTTGCCGCTCCTCTGGCAGCTGTAGCCATTCCGGACCATTCCACCAACTTTTACTAGATGTCAGTAGTCTGGCCGAAACGCCCCTGGTGGCCAGATCGGCAACATTTGCCTTCCTGTCTACGTGGAACCACTCCTCTCGTCTCGAACTCTGGGCGACCTCCGCTACACGGTTGTGCACGAAAACCTTCCAGCTTCCCGGGTTTGAGCTGGTAGCCCAATGATAGGCGATAGTTGAATCGGTGTAAAAACGCACGCTGTCGAACATGATATCCAGACGCTGAACCAGGAAATTCTTCAGGCGGACGGCCATGAGAGAGGCCAGTAGCTCCAGTCGCGGCAATGACTGTTCGCTGCGTGGTGCAAGTCTGGACTTTGCCATCAGCAGAGAGTCCTGCGCCGGTCCGTCCGCGTATACGCACTCCAGATAGGCGGCGGCCGCGTAAGCTCGCTTCGACGCGTCACCAAAGACGTGAAGTCGATAGCCTTCGGGGCGTTCCTCTCGGCTGGCGCACTTCCTTGCAATCTCGAGATCCGTGAAGTCGGTGAACTCCGCGGCCCATTGCATCAGCTCGACCCGCAGCTCATTCGGAACTGCCTCGTTCCATTGGAGGCTATTTTCCCAGAGCCTTTGGATAATCAGTTTCCCTCGGACAAGGTAGGGGCTTAGATATCCAAGTGGGTCGAAAATTGATGCCACGATGCTGAGGACGCTCCGCTGGGTTATCACCTCCCCAGGATCGAGACCCCGGATTCTCTTCGGAATCACGAACCGGAGCCTATCATTCGTCGGATCCCAGGTCACGCCGAGAACCTTCAGAAGATTGCTCGGAACAACGTCGAAGTCCTCGGCAGCGACTCCGGTCTCGGCCAGATGCCGCAGGAGCATCGAGGAGTTGGATTTCCATTTTGCGAGGCTCATGTCTGCGAGCTGAAGGTAATGCCGGATACTGTCAGTGAACTCGATTGCCTCTTTCACCGTGTCGAAACTCTCCAAGCAGTCGTCGGCATACAATGATCCGGATTCAGATTCTCGCCCACGAGCAGATGTTGATTCAGCGAGCTCTGACCGCGTTCCTTAGCTGAACAGTCGAACACAATTCTCCATTTGTCTCAAGTCGGCCTCGATGTAACAACCTCGTGATGGGGCATCAAAAACGAGCCGTCACAGCGTGTGATCGGCTCGAAATCCTCTGGTGGGACCTCGGTTGCGAACCCGTCGTTCACGAACCCCATAATTTCTTTATCATAGCGATGGTACGCTGAATAATCGCGTCGGAGTCGGGTCAGCGTGCGATCCAGTCGCTGGTTGGCGAGCGTGTAGTTATTCCGGAGCCGGGCTATGCTTTCTCTCTTCGGGAACTTGACAGTGTAATAGCTCCCAGAGTATTTCACGCTGGCTCTGGACTGATTCATGGCGGCCTCCTCGTCCAAACTTCGTGTCGACTCCTCGGAGGCGAGCGGCTCAGAGATACCAACGGCATCTGATTTCCACAGGTTTTCTATGTTCTCTTGATCAGCGGAATCGCGTCTCGCCGCCGGACCGGTAGCCACACAACAGACGATCGGAGCGCCCGCTTTAGCCGTCTGCGGTTCGCTCGCACCGTCGACGACCCATCCGAATCTCGAATTGGACGCCGAGATGTTGTCGACAACATGTCTCGGCTCGCCCCCGAGCATGACACGGTGGAGTTGATCTACGCCGATGAGGATCGAGGGAGCATTCGAATCCCATTCATTGAAGTATATGATCGATCGGCCATCGAGCATTCTCTGTCGAAACTATTGAAAGCCTTTAGAACGTGGGGCGAGCAGGTGTTCGCTGGGTCGACTTCAAACTCGTATTCGTGCGCGATGATCTCCACTTTCGGGCCACCCGCGGCTCCCACGAGCCTGAGCCGGTATGCCGGTAGCGAACAGGTGTCGTCGGTGTGATGCAGCGTCTGTATCATCATGTCGTTTCGTCCTACCGGACTACCTCCAATCTTGAGTCTGGTGGCCGGTCGTATCAGTGTGACCGTAGCACCTCGATCGAGGAACACTCGAATCGGAACAGCGAGACCCCGATCCGCGATGAGATGTACCGTTGCCGTCATGACCAAAGCGGCCTGGCGAGACGCTGCGCCAGCTGCGATTTCGAGCGCTGGCGAGGCCGTGCTCTTTTCCGAAGTGTGCATGGCTGTGTAGTGCGACTTTGATTTGCACTTGGAGCAGACAACTCGGGGCCCCCTGCAGGTGGAAGGGTCAGAGTGAGCGGCTCGGAAACAGGATTCGCACCTCTTCAACTCGGCCAGGATCTCCCTTCGGCGTCGGAGAGTCATGTCCGCGTCGCACCTCGACGGCCGGTGACCGGTTTTCCGGCAGAACAGGCATCTCGCGAGTTCCCTCGTCGGCGCCGTCACAGCCGCCACGATACCATGAATTGGTCCTTTGCTATCTCGGACTCGACGACCTTTACTGTAAATCGCGGTGCTTCCGGCGTACGGCGGAGTTCCTCCCGGCTTGTGAACGTCCTTCGATCCCTCGTCCTTATGCTCGGCCAGATGTTTGTCGTTTTCCCACAGCTTTCGTTTGGCGATGAGGAACTTAATCGTCTCCTGGACCTCGCTCGCGGTTCTTTCAGCTAACGATAAGCTCTGGCTCGAGCTAGCCCGCGATGTGACGCTGTTGCCACCGCTATCGGAGTCTCGAGATGATATGGTGGCGAGCTTCCGCTCTAGTTGTTGATGCTCTAGCAACTCATGCCGCAATTTCGTCGGCAGAGCCGCCTCGATGGCGTTCTTGAGGGCCATCGCGTAGACCTCCATCGGGATCTCGTTTGCGGAGAGGCTTGCCGTGTTCCTCTGAACCTGATTAATTAGTCTCTGCCACGCCGATAGGTCATAGTAGCGTGGAACTGGAGGGAGAACTCGGAGCTCGGTGAGCAGGCGTTCGGTTTCCCGGATTACTTCGGCATATGTATCCTCAAGGACTCAAGGAGATCTGAGGCAACTTGGTAGTTGTGATCTTCGAGCGCGAGGCCCTCCACGAGTTCTTTCGGCTGATCGCAAAGATACTTTCGGAGTATCATAAGCTTCTCCACCGGTGATGCGTTTGGCCGTTTCTCCACGAAGCACTTGAATTGCGTGATAAACGCCCGGTACTTCAGCTTGTCCCCGCGGAAGGGTTCGGGTGAGATATCCAGCTCTTTGGGAAGCCTCGCCATCATGACAGCATTCACGGGCTGCCCTGGAGCCTGCTGGGAAGTCTCCGGCTCCTGCATGGGGGTCGCGGGTTCCGCTCGCGGGAAACCTTCCGCATTCAAGAAGGTAGCTTGATGAAAAATCGGGGCCTCGGCAGCTGCGTTGGCGTGGAAAGGGGTGGATTGCGCGAACAATGTGGAAGCCGGGAAAGGCGTAGACTGGGGGCGCGACGTCGGCACCGGATTGGCCACAGAATGCGTGGACAGAGTGGGTGCGGGGACCTGCGAGGGTTGCTCCTGGAGGCCGAATCGAACGTGACGCACGGCCTCAGGGGTTGCGTAGACCGTGCGCCCGATTTCTTCGGACAGTCGTGCTTCCCGCATTCGTTGAATGGCGGCATTGATTCTCGCCGTGGCGTCCTCCATCATCTCTTCGAAGTTTTGGGCTTCGTCTGCATCTTCTTCAGCTTCCTGTTCGTCACTGATGAGCTGGGCGATCTGGACGTTCAAATCTTTGACGCTGGCCCAGAGCGAAACGATTTTTCCTCGAATCGCGATGGGATCGATTGACGGCGGAAATACGGGAGTCGCTGTCTGCAAACCCTCAATTTCGCTGAGAGTCTCAGTCAGCAGATTTCGGCGACGCGTGCGGAGTCGCCTGTGATTTGCGAGATGTTTCCTGCTCTGATCGGGCGCTTGCGATGCCATGCTCGCGATATCAGCGACAGGGTCGTGCCTCACTCGGCGTGCGCGTTTGCTGGGTTTGGCGACGCTCGACCGTCGATCTAGTCGATATGTTCGGTGCGCCTGCGCACGTGATAGCATTCGGTGACGGTCGGTGTGAGGACTTATGAGTCCGGATTGTATGCAGGATACCTGTTATTTCGAGGTCTCCTCGGTTGAGTGCGGACTTGTGCGTAGTCTTCTTGGATTCTTGTTCTGTGACGGAAGTCCCGGTCTCTGAGAATCCTGGTCACGGCACCATGTTGAGGACTTGAGATTCGTGGGGAGAAGGGGACAGTCTAACGTTTTATCACTCGAAGAGGGCTGATACGCTAATCAGATAATCATGACGATCCGATCGTTTTCGACGACTATGTTCGCGCGCTGCACTGATAGTGCCGTTTATTCGGTGTCACCAGGTGGCGTCCCGAACGGGGCGCCAATACTTGAAATTTCAAGAGCTCGCATCTCGGTTTCCATAGAGTAATACTTGACAGAAACGCCTTTGTTCACAGAAGAAAAGGCAATTTCGTAACATTTTCTCCCTTACTGCGGAAAGTTTTGAGGAAGTGTCCAAAAATCGATCATAGCACCCCTGTTACATATATATACGGTCAGTTTTTCTCTAGTGGGTATCCGGCTTTCTTCGTCGAGGAATAACCATGTCGGAACAGTCTCTGTCTCCCTCTGGAAGCTGTGACACTTGGGATCTTTCTCCCAGGAACGAGCTTGAAACCGAGGCGTTGAATGATGATCAAAACGCTAGTGCTGCTACTTGTCCGATCGTGATTCGACATGAGGTTGTTCAACCGTCTGCTCAGGTTGTTGGTCATCGGAAACGGCGATCCAGGAATGGCTTCATTCAATATGCACTCATGGTTCAGCGTAGGGATCGGCTTCGTTTTCAGCAAGCCATCGATGTTGCTGGACTCAACTGGCCAGACATGGACGCCGAAGCTCGTCGTCCGTATCGCGAGCAGGCTCTTCGAGAGCGCTCGCCTCCCAGGCCTTGTAACCGCCCGGAGTGTGTTGCACGTAAGGAGCAAATGGAGAGGCCAATCTCTGAGCTTTCTTCCAGCCTGGAAAAACTGACTGAATTAATTCATTGTCTGTAATTGGTATAAAAGGGGTGCTCATTCCATTGAGTAGGTGTAGACAACGAGTCTCAAAAAACCAACGAGTTTTCAAGAGACAAGGACGAGAATGGCAAAGATTGCCAAAACGAATGTAAGCCACCTCGGATATTTTTTTTTTTGTAGATTTTGTTCTCCCTACTATCGGCCCTAACCTCATGTTTCGGTCAGCGCTCCAGGAGCGTGAGATACGGACCGAGGCCCAGACGGGACTCAATCGAACTAAGACAAATGGACTTGGGGATGCTGTCGGAAAGACGCGAGCCGGAGATTACCCGGCAACATGTTGCCGTCTGTGTCATTTTATTGACACTTTTTGTAGTCGTGGTGGTGAGCGTCGGTAAGCAAAGCTCCTTTGTGTTGTCCGTATGTATCATTCCAAATGATACTTGATATCTGATGCCTGATCTCATTGATTTAGAGAAAAGCATGAGGGAGGGCCCGTCCAAGGAAATGGACGTAAAGCGATATCGGGCCGACCGCATTGTGGGCGGTTTCCTTCTCCACTCCAAATCCGAACCGTTATGCCTGTATTGGGAAGCTTCGGCCCCGCCCCCCGAGTACAAAGGTACTCGTTTCCCAGGTCCCACAACGGTGGGACAACCCATGGAACGAAAGAAGGGGCGAAGAGGTCTGCGGGAGCAGACCTGTTTTCAAAATTCTGCGAATCTTATAATAATAAGATATGAACGGTTGAAACGTGAAAAATGCCTTTACTGTTAGGGTTCCTCATCCTTCAATCCGTTTAGTGGCCTAGCTCTCAATTCGATGTCTTGGTAGCCCAGGCGTTTCAGCCTCATAGCTAGAAAGTAGATCACTCCGCTTAAAGCAGTAATGATTGAGCATAGAAATCCAGTTGAAAACCACCACTTGAGGTCTCCGCTTGAAGGCACCGGCGTTGGTGTCGGTGCCCTTGTGGTGCTTGGCATTTCCGTAGTAGGCCGATCGGTGGGAGTTTCCGATGTTGGTGCGGTTTTCGAGGATGTTGGAACAGCCGTGGTGCTGGGAGCTGATGTTGTTGTGGTATAAATCCACCGACTGTAAGCATCCCAGATAGCTTGGCCGCCGAATACCTTGACGGGTGTGATGCAGGCCAAGTTGGGTGATACGTGCCGCGTACAGGCTTGCTCAAACTCGTAGCAAGTGGACATGAAGTTGCCACCTTCTGTCTGCTCGACTCCACATGCGCGGCGCCTTTGCTGGCAGGCCTTGTCGCAGTCCCGGGTGTACTCGAAGAAGGCCTCGTAGCCTTCGATGGTGATGATCACCAAGAGTACCTTGATTGTGGTGTTCATATTGCTAATGAGCAGAAATACAAATTAGACCCCTAAGCTTTTGAAAGGTAGCTTTCGTTAAGGCCTTGGTGAAAATGTCTGCGAGCTGATCTTGGGTCGGATCATGCTGAATTTTGATTGGACCACTTTCGAAAAGATCTCTTATGAACAGATAACGAACTGAAATATGCTTGCTTCGTTGACGATATTGGTTTTGACTCACCAAAGAAATCGTTGCTTGGTTGTCAATCAGAAGCGTCTTGGTGTGGCTGTGGCCAATTTCTTCTGTGATTTGTTCGAAATACAGCATGAGCTGTATGGTTGAGACTGCTGCGATAAGTTCGCTCTCGCGGCTCGAAAGGGAAAGGGTCCTTTGTAACTGACTGCCCCAAATGACGGGTCCAGAGTCAGTCATCACAAGAGAGCCCTTTTTCTGGTGATTGGACAACTAGCGTAATCTGCATCGCTGTAATAGCGGTATCCCGTGAAATCAGAACTCTTGTAAACTATCCCATAGTTTGCTGTTCCTTTCAGGTAGCGAAGGACGCTCATTCCTTCAGACCATCTCTTCTCTGTTGGATGCTCTAAGAAGCGCGATAGATAACCAACGATAAATGAGATGTCCGGTCTGGTACCTAACTGCAGATACATGAGACTTCCAATGAGTTCTCGATAGGGAATATCCTCGAGTTCCTCAGTCTCATCGAGGGAATATATGTCTCTGTCAGCTGGTGTTGAACAGGGCTTGCAATTCGTCATATCGAAACGTTTGAGAATATCAAGGGTGTAGCGTTCTTGACGCATGACCACGCTCATGTCATTCTTCCTGTGAAATTGTATTCCGAGAAAGTGATCAAGCGGCTTATACGTAACCAGTATTGGGGGGCGCGGCCTGCGGCCGCGCCCCTCAACTCTGGACTCAGAGGCGAACGTAGAGCCCTATGTTTCTAAGTGAAGTCTCCTTAATTGCCAAATTTCTTTGAGTGAGAACGGTGAAAATAAGGTACTGAGTTTCGACTCGCTGCATAAAACTCGCAGGTTCGACCCCCCACCCTCGGAGACGAAATTCCTTATGGTTCTTCCTAAATCAGGAGATGCCCTACTGGAAGGCAGGAAGTCAGCTAAAGGATATGACAAAATGGTTCTCGATCGGGGAATGTTTATTGTAATGCTTTCGGATTATTCGGAGAAAACGAACTCAATCATGAAATTCAATAGTTCCAGTTCTAAAATTTCGTAGGACAAAGCGTACGCTGCCGTCAGAGCAGTCATGTTCCTAGGGTTCCGGCACACCGGACATAAATCGCAGCTTCCGATCAAGGTTTTGACGTATGCATCCATGTCTGGGTTTCGTGGATCTTGTTCTTCACCAATGGGCGGAATCACCGAGAAAATGGTCAAACATCTCGGGTGGCGAGAAGATTTCCTCAATTGGCGATGGCCCACTCTGAGGACCGAAAGTCGTTTCGTCGAGCTCGGTAGGGTGCTCAATGTCACTGGGAAGCTGCTGGCGCCAGTGATCATAGGGTGGTTGTTCAGTACACAACGTAGAGCTTCCCCCGAGAGCTGCTTGTGTCCTTCGGAGAAAAGGTGAAGCATGAGCCTTGACACTTTTACACCTTCATCCGTCGAAAAAGTTCTCCGACGCGATATTTTAGGTGCCATAACGTTACGCCGATCATTTAAGGGTGTTTCAGGCGTCGTTGGTAGTAGTGAGGGGCGCGGGTACCGACCGGAAAAGTTGGTAGCGAACTTCGGCTGCATGACTGATGAGGAGAAATATATTATGAATGATGACTTAGGCATCGAATATTAGACGACAAAACAGAAAAGTAATTTTATCGGGGATGAAAACTTCCTGTAGAGCAAGTATCTTACCTTGCTGTAGTGATCAACGATGTTACAGTTCACAGCGTCGTGGGAAAACTTGAACTCCGGTTAGTCGTAGCTCAATCACTTCGCAGAATGGTTGTAGCCTATGCACTCCGCAGAGCATGGGAGCTCTCGACGAAACGGTTTTGATTAGCAACGGCTTTTCTGCGCAGTTAGCGATTGGAAAATGAGCGGTTTCGATTGGCGGCTGGAAGTTGCCATAAGTTCAAAATGGCGGCGCAGCGAAAGAAAATTCGGTAGTCCGAGCTAGCGGATCTTGAGTTCCAAAAAACGATGATTCAATTTCCACGCAGGGGATGGGAGCAGAAAGCGAACTCTCGGCATGTCGGGGATTTCAAGGATTAGCGCAATTGAGTCGACTGTAAGTTCCCATGAGTTCGAAATGGGGGCTCAGTGGGAAAAATTTCGGTGGTCGAAGTTTGTTTCCTTCGATGATTCATCGGGTATCTCCGTTTTTAAGGCTGGAGTTTGCTTGTGAAGGAGAGACTCCGAATGCATTGGATTCCATATCTTCAGCTGATGCAGAGGAAGTAGAGATGTCCAACACAATATCGGGAAGAACAACGTTGAGCAGCTCATTGCCGGGAGCTTTAATTCTGAGGTAATCAGGTTTTGGAACCCTGGAGAGGGCGACATACAACTGTTCATGGCTGAAAACTTCCTCGAGCAGGACTAACAAGTAAACATTCTTTTTTGAAAATGACAATCGCCTGGTTTGACATGCTTTTCTGAAAGTTTCCGAGCCCCGGAGCAACCCCGAGTCGTTTTTCCCTGCTGTCCTGCATTTCATACCCCTTTCCTGCAGGCTCCGAAACCCGGAAAAAACACCTTTTACATCGAAATCCGGGATATTTTTCTCGGATTTTGATGGAAATGTTTTTTCCCCAGGTTCCGAAGCCCGGAAAGACCCATTCCCGCTGATATCCGAGCAAAATATCCCGGATTTCGATGAAAATAGGGTTTTTTCCGGATTTCGGAGCCTGTAGGGAAGGGGTAT